CACTAGGAAACTCCTGTAATGGAATGTTATAACGCTTCTTACTTAGATCCTTGCTTCAAAAATATGAACTTTATTAGTAAGGAAAAAAAAAAATATTCAAAATAGGTTGTTAGAAATTGTTGAAATAGAAACTGACACTACGGATGCTCCAACACAAACTGAACTGGACCATTTTTTTGATGGTAAAATTCAAACAGAACATTTGATTAATGACGAATTGGAACGCTATGAGAAAGTAATGCAAATGAATAAATATCATAATAACTATTCTCTTTATAAAATTCACAACTCTCTTATATGGTGGTATACAAATAAACACGATTTTCCAAATCTAGTAAGGGTGGCTCAAAAATTTTTTTCATTTCCGGCAACCTCAGTACCTTATGAACACCTATTTTCCGATACAGGCAACATTCTTACAAAAAAATGAAATCGATTGGATCCAAGTACAGTTCATGACATACTATTTTTGAAAACAAATTCAAAATTATTCAACGTTTATCCCGAACTAGAATGAATAAAAAAAAAAAATTGTAAGTAAAAAATTCAATAAATTTTTTGATATTCGAACTTAAAGATTACTGATTAATAAATTAACTTGATAAGACTTACTCTACTTCGTAAATTTGTTTGCTCATACATATTGGTCAATAATAAACTTGGTTTAGAGATACTTTGCAAGAACATTAAAGTAACTTCTTTGAAACTCAGAGTATAAACTTTAGCGAAAGGAAATTAATAAAATATGAGGTTATTGTTAGTCTATTAAACGAATGTAAGGCGTTATTAATTAAGAAAAAAAAAATGCATATTTTCATTTAGCTAAATTGTTTATAGTATAAGAGCCTTTTATTTACAAAATAAATAGTATAATAGAATTTGGTTTGCTTATTAAGTATAATGCAGTATAATTGTTATTTTGGCTTTATTTGCAATTTGATTAGTTGAAATATTATTTTCATAAAATAGTCGACCCAGTCAGCCAGCTCAGGTTTTTTTGACCTCAACCTTGGCCTATGAATTTTTTATCAGCCTGTATCACTATTCACTAGTCTTTCTAAAGCTAATATTATTAAAGTAGTGCCAGATTATAACTATATAATTTTTATTGATAATGTAAAATACTCTTTACTATCTTGATACTTCATTATATAAACAAACTTATATAACTAGTCTTCTAAGATTAGTTTTGAATTAATATTCTTAATTTGTCTTCTATACTCTATATCAATACAAAATTCCTTTAAAATCTTCACCTATACTTGTATCATCTTATGTGTTATTTGTACTTTAAAACTTTTACAAATTGTTTTCATATTTTCTGCTGATAGCTTAATATACTTAAAAGTCTATAAAATTTTTAT